TATGTGTATACAAACATGCAAATGCACTTAGGTTGAGCCTCCTAGTATGTATAGAATGCAAGTTGTGGAATTTGAAGTGGGTCAACGTGGATTATGTAATTAAAAAAGCGACTGACATCTCTGCCTGCAAGTCGTTGCAATGAAGTAGAGCAGCAGGAATTGAATTTTTGCAAAAGCAAAAAAAAAAAAACACAGAGGCATTATTAAAAATCATAAAGATGAAAACATGCGAGTTATTTGGAATGAAAAATATTATTTGAAAGCAAAATCGCACAGCATAGTTTAGCAGATTCCGATGATCAACAGGAAATGAATTCAATATGCATTAACGACGCTGCGTTTAATTTAGTATTAAAATTTTAAAATCAACTTCAGCTTGAAGAATTTAAAACTTTTCAAAAATAAGCTCAAAGCTTAAAAATATTTCTCTTGAATACTCCAAGAACCGCCTCATCGGACGTCGCCATTGTCCATGCTTATACGGCCTATACCAGCACGGCCATGATGATGTGACTTACAGAAAGTAATTTTGATACATCGAGAAAGGACTTTACTTCGCAATTGCCTACTCAGTTCAAAGTAGAACTTTTTGGGCAAGGATGATTCTCCGTTGGACTTCGGAGTAAATATATGCAACTTATTTTCGGGCTATCGAAAGTGTCGTTTGAAGTCGACAAATAGGTGGTGAGTTTCGATCCTCTCCTCGCCGGTCTTTTCCAAGGTCATAATATGGTAAATATGTACATGGTCTATTGTGGATTAACTGGGTCTATAGCCACACCGATAAGGCCCAATCACTTTGTTGCCGGTGGGCTTCAGTCTTTTACACAATACGCTCGAAAGCAACCAAAACCGATTCTTAGAAGACTAATGCGGCGTTAGTTGGTGCATATGGGTACTCGCCTACCTTGTCTACTTGGCAGCGCACACTTAAATTACAGTCGTCTGAGTGGATGAATGCACCTTAGCAATGTCTCGTCGCCACAGTTAAATAGCTCAGCTAGAAGACTGTCATGTCCCACAGCTTTGTTGGTTTTCAGCCGCGAAGATGCTATTCGTACCTCGTCATAGTTAGGCGGTGGGACAACGACTTTGTCATCATATTCTCATAAGGGTTCATATTCTCCACGGATATCAGTGCTGCTACTATTCAGGAGGGTGGAAAAGTTTTTCCTCCATAATTTAATCACGTTCTGGACGTCGGTCACTACTAACTATCTGATAAAATTTCCGGACGTTGTTCGTGTCGGCCAGCATTACAAGCTCTTCGCACTCCCATATTTCGGAAACTCTCTTCTTATACGTCTTGCTTCCTTCTTCAGTACTTAATTATCGGGAAATGTGGTTCCACTGCTCGCATATGTCGGTTTGTCGAAGAGTGCTCTCTTTGAGCTAGCGTGAGAGTCGAGAGGTACTGACCAAGGCTAAGGAACATTGACTTTTGATCGACACTTAGCGTTGTTTAAAGATCTCGACCTTCAAGACTAGCGGCTAAGTCTTGAGCTATGTTTCATACAAATTTAGGATTGATTGGTTTGCTAGAGCGGCAAGCAATACTCAAATTTTTGTCATTTCGATATTACTCATGCAAGCCTTCAGCCATGTGGCGGTTTTGATAAAATTTAATATAACATTCAGAAAGAGCTGAACTCTGAACTATTTTGCAGGAATGGTTGACCTAGTTTTTATGGAATTGCGATCTTATACATATCTACTATTGCCTTACGCTCCTCGATGGTTAGTTGTTTAAATTTGCCTATTATTGTATCGAAGACAGAAAAAGATGCTTGTTTTCCTATATTGTTTTTAACCAAACTAGTAACTAACATTTTTTTCACTTTCATTTCAGCTCTACTAAAGTACCAACAATCACCACAACTGCACAATCATCGCTGGACTCGGACCAAACGACGCAGCTGAAAACGACACGTGATCCAGTCAAACGTCCACCCCTCTACCGACAGGACTGCTCAACCTGCGTCGACTCGAGCGAAGCACAATCGGACGATAGTCATTTAACACGCGACTCTGTTACGCGTGAATCCCAAAACGACGAACTCTCCTCGTCGACGCTAGACAAACTCGACCTTAGCACTCTACCATTACCGGCCCTACCACCAAAGAAGCGACGCACCCGTCTGCGCGCCAGCCCATCGCGGCATCACAGCGGCAGCAGTCGGCGTGCGTACGAGCATGATTTGGCTGCGCCTGTCGGCGGCGACGAAACACGACACACAGCTGCCTCTGCTGCGCATATAAGTTTGCAAGCGGTCGCCACTGGCAGCGGTGCTGGTGGTGGTAGTGGCGGTAGCGGTGGCAGCTGTGGCGAAGCAACGCCACATCTCTCTGCCTTTCAGCAGTACGTGGCAAAGCGTCGCGAAAGTCTCGAAGCATCATCGCGCAACTTCAACGAAAAACTGGAAGCGCGTAGAATGCATTACCACATGGGTGGTGGCGGCGGTTGCGAGAGCGGCGTTGGCAGTAACGCAAGTGGAGGACCAATGACCGGAGGTAGTACTCATATGCCTACCTATTTATTTGGTGAGCACTATTATGGAGTGCCTAAGAAGGTGACGGGCACGCGAAAGTCGCCCCACGGCAACAAGGAGGAGATTTTCCTTAACAAATCTGGTTGGGTGCAAGTGAATACGAAGCGCAATAGCGATGAGAATCGAGGCGTTGGTAGTTATCGAGCCGCTAACTATGCGCATCAGAACGGCGGCAGCATCGATGGTGAAAGTGAGCGAGATTTGCGACGTACAGTGCGCGTCATACAAATAGATAATACTCGACGGTCGGATAGAGCACGGCAGGCACTACAACAACATCATCAATATTCGCTCGATCCCGCATTTGGCATGGGCAAATATCCGGCGAGCAAAGTTGAAGAGCTAATCCAACGTAATCAGGCGCGAGTCGGCAATGCTGGTGGTCCGGTTTTCGTAACGACACGTGACAATGCTCTACGGCCCGGCTATCGAATCGTTGATCCTCAATTGGCCAGCATTCTCAATGAACGTCCCGGTTTCCTGCCTGTGCGTAATTTGCATGACGCAGATTCACCGCCTCCCATTACACCCATACTCTCTCCACCACCCGCCTTCCAAGACAGTAGCAAATCCAAATACATTGATCGACGTAAAACCATACCGAGTAGACAGCATCAGTCGGCGCTGACTGCCAACAATCTGCATGCAGCGAACAGCAATGGCAGCACCGTCAAGGGTATGGTATTCTCTCGAAGCTTTGAGTATGACACACGTCGAAATGCGCCAGCTGATAGTTATGTGGAAACGTTTTCGCGTAGCTTTGATGGCAATCTCTGCGAACGGCCACCGCTGCAACGTGATCGTTCGCCCAACTTCAGCTCGCTCACCGGTAATTCACCCAACTATCTGACGAAGAAAGATTCGGGTGGTGGCAGCAGTGGCAGCTTACGTAGTCGTGACAATTCACCAAAATACCAGCATCCACAGACCACTGCCTATCTGAATGCTTCGATAAAAGAAGCGCCGCCCTCCTTTAGTTTGGCTAGCGCGAATCCCAATGCGGGCGCCAGCAGTCGCTATTCGCCGCGATCTCGACACGAACGTTCCTTCGAGCGGTCGAAGAGTCACAATGTGCTGGTGCGTTCGCGGAAGTCTCAATTCAATCGAGTGGCTAGTGGTGGTGCTACAGTGGGAGTAGGTGCTGGAGGCAGCCAACCGCCGATGGTGAGCGTTGGTATGTCACGCTTTCGCAGCTTCGATACGACGGCGAGCCAGCGACTGAATTCGTGCGACAGTGGAGCGAGATCAGGTGAGTTAAATTTGAGTTCAAATAATAAAAAGAAAGTATCATAACTTAGTAGCTTTGGGCTAGGCTGGGTTAAGTAGGCTGCTGGTAAAGAGTTTAAGTGGAGGGAACGAAGGGAAGTTATGAAACTCAGGGCAGTTTTGAATGACTCCATCCTCGTAATTTCTTAAAAAGCATTAAGATTTTCTACGGTTTGGGCTGCGTCCCAATGGTCCATTAATTTATAAATATATCGGAAGGCTAACGTGTGTTTTTTTTCTTGAGAGTTTTACAGGCTCTTCATTCGTTGAGTAAAGATCAGGTACCAGTATCTTTGTTTTCTTTCAGCCACGAAATTTCTATTACATAGTCACGCCCGTCGAGATGGGGGAAGGAAAGGATGCTGTTGATGGTTTTCCATCACACCATCATTTTGGAATTTAATCCCCATGCTTCTCCTCTATTCTTTAGCGGTTACTTTGTTGATTATGGAGTTGAAATGTGGCTGCCAAGCGAATTTTCTATCCAGGGTTATGCCTAGATATCTACGCTCTTCCTTCAAAGGAATCACAGTCCCATTTATTTTTAGATCTGGAAATCAAAGCTTCCTATTTCTGGTGACAGGGATGATTGTAGTTTTATTGGGATTTATGGACAATCCTTTTTTCCTGCACCAATTTCAAGTTAAGTTTAGGGCGTTTTGCAACAAGTTTCCAATGGTCCTTTCATTGTCGCCCTTGATCATAGTGGATATGTCATCAGCGTAACCTATGGTTTGATATGCTTTCGTATTGTGGAGATAGCATCCCTTCTTGTGAACAGCCCTTTCCTGAAGTGATGCTGAGTTCTTTCGGTCTTAGGTTTGCCTTGATTCTCCTCTGGGTAAGCATATAAACGATAAATCTGACTATTTTGGGACGTCCACCTCTATTTGAGAGTGTCACTCCTACTCCCATATGGATCTAGCATTGGCAAAGGCACCATCAATGTCTAAATGAGCAGAGGGCAAAAACCTTTGATGCAAATGCCTTATCTATTTCACCTTTGATGGAGTTAAGTGCCGTAATTGTTGATTTTCCTTTTTAATAAGAAAATTGTAGAAACTAAAGAGTATCTCTTCCCTAAGGTAGTGGTCAAGTAGTAGTTGAAAGGCTAATTTGCCTGTTGGATTTTGAAGAGTCTGGGAGTTTATTCCTTTCCCTTTGGCAAAAAGATTACCTTGAATTACCTTCAACTTCTTGGAACATGTTCCAGTGTCAGGCAAGACCTAAAGATTGAAACCAAATTTTTAATAATTTCGTTCGTACCTTTTGAAAGCAGTGTCGGGAACATGCCGTCTGACCCCGGAGATTTATTTGGCTTTAACGACTTTTTAGGCTGTCCGATGATTTTGAGCAATCAGGGAAGTGAGTCCTTAAAATGAGCTCTAGGGTTAACCGAACGTGTTAGTAGGGGATCTATCCGATTCCTTTAGAGTGCTCATGAGGGAGGACTCTCCCTTTGATAGATACCTTTGGATCCTAGCAGTAGCTGGAATATCCCTTAGGTCTTCACAAAAGTTTTTCAAAGAATTGCAAGTTGGAGTTGGAGTTCCTTAGTTCTTATTTCTTTGTTCTTAGTTCTTAGTTCTTTAATATATGTTTGTCCTTTTGGCCTTGTCAGCTTTCGCAGGCGCGCCTAACAACATCTAGTTGTATGCCTATCTAACTGCCAGCGTTGCCTGATTATACGTTGCATCTGTTACTTTTCCATATTGTAAAATTTTACGCCCCGCTGGCTTGCGTTGAGAAGATTTTGGTGACCAAAGTTTTGCGTAGCGATTGGCAGAATTGCACCGCGGATCTTACTATAAGAGCGAACACCTCTTTCTTTACTCTCACTTCTCTTCCTGATGCTCTCCCTCTCTCTCTTCCTGATGCAAAAATAAATACTTTTTCGTAATAATCGTATTCTGTCAAGAAATTTTTTAATTAAATTATCCATCTTTATTCCATTCATTTAATAATCATATTTCAATGTGCTTAAACTTTAATCCCAAACTAAATGCAATAAAATAAAACTTAGAAAAGTCTTATCAATTTACGGACATATTTACATTGTGCATAGATGTAAGTACCCGGTCGGGAAGTAAAAACGCAATAAAATACGTATTTTTTAATAACTTCAAACGGTTGAAGTTCGTTATTTTTTCTTGTAAGCAAATGACTTTATTAATACGGTGATGTAGTAGGAGCATGTCAATTGTCGGACTTATCATATGATTTCAGATACATATGTATGTACTTACAAATGCAAAGAGCTTCCAAATCTGCGGCCGAAATTCATATTAAAAAATTAGAATTAAAGAGCTGAACAATCGCCTGCTGCATTTTTTCTAAGAAATTTATTTCCAACTACTTTTTCAATTGGATAGTTGGTGAGAATACCTGACAGATTTACTCTGTACCTACGTAGTACGTACATTCATACACACCGACATGCATTAATGCATACATTTAAAATCTCGCCCTTTTCTTCGCACTTTAAATCTCATTCTCTGCCAGTAACTGCTGCGTTGGCGACGAGAATTTTGCATTTATCAAAGCTGTATAGAGTTTTGGCAGCAAGCTTCTCGTACGAGGTTGTTGCGCTTCATTGCACGCACACAAAATGGATTTGACTTTTGCCAACGATGAATGGGTAAAGCGACGGGCGCGTGTTCTTGTATACACATGCATACATACTTACTAGGGATGCCAAAATATGAGGAAAATTGTGATCCCGGCATTTCGGGAAATTTTTTTTTGTAATCCCTGGATATCTGGATCTCGGGATTCACATTGTGTCATAACTTTGAGTAAAGATCCTTGTTTTATGTTTCCTCGTTTGTATTCACTGAAAGGAAAATTAGCTAAGCCCAAAAAAAGCTCCGAAATTTCGATAAGGTCAAAATAACCCTTTAATAAAGATCGAATCCCTCTGATTCGTATGGAGTTTTGTTTTGCTTTAAACTGGCAAAAAGTTTTATTCAAATTTTGGCGAAATACGTGAAGAAAATGGCTATAAGAAGTTTTTTCCTCTCCTGTGCAATTTTTAAATTGGCACTTAGCAACTTTGCACTCAAAGCTAGCGATATTTATTAGGTTAGGTTAGGTTGAGTGACCCCACTAGCACACATAGGCCCTTGGTTGTGGGCCCATTGTGATACCACGCGGATCCTCAGAACCCTCCTACTCAAACCATCGTGTGGATTTCGTGAAACCCAGAAGTTGCCGTATGCCAACTTCGGCTATGTCGATTAGGTCCTCAAAGAATCCTGAACCCATAAACTTTTGTCTTCTTCTACAAAGTGCTGGGCAATCGAATAACAGGTGCCGCAAGGTTTCTGGCTCTTCTTCATTCCTGCAGCTTCTGCATAAGTCGTTATGGGGGACCCCTAACCTCTCCGCGTGCCTTCCAATAGCAACATGGCCTGTTAGCAGACCCACAGCTGCCCCTCTGCTCAGCATGAGAAGGTCCCTCGACCGCCTTTTGTCCCATTTTGGCCATTAAAGCTTCGTGTTGTTGCAAGTGGTGAGGCTATCCCAGCTGTCCCTTGCTAGTTTAAGAGACAGATCCCTTAAAATTAGCTTGCAGGTAGCGATCCGCAGAGCATCGCAGTTCTTTGCACCTTTTGGAGTGCTTTAGTTGTAGATTTCCTGTTGAGACTTGGCCACAATACCAATACCCCATATAATACCACCATGTATAGCCAATACATGATGCTAGGGGATAGCTACCTTACAGCTGTAGAGGGCTGCCGTCGCCCCCCTAACACGCTCTTGAATATTTTGCGCCCAGTTCAGCTTTTAGTCCAGGACTACGCCTAGATATTTTGCGGACTCCCCTAGCTTCAGTATTCTATTGCCTATAACAGGGAGCTGAAGTGGTGGGCTTATGTACTTTCTGGTAAAGAGCACCTTTCTCCTTGGTATATCTTTCGATTAACCGTAGTCTGTCCTGCATAATGTCACACAGAGTTTGCGGAAATTTTACACTCACTACCACCGCAAGGTCGTCGGCATACGCAATGATCTTGAAGCCTCCCCCCGCCCCTTCCAGGGTCTGCAATAATTAATTAATCGCCATGACCCATAAAAGGGGGGAGAAGATCCCACCCTGCGGGGTTCTCATGCAAACGTATCTGTCCAGCGACATCCCCGCCAGTTCCGCCCGCATGACCCAGCCTATTAGCAGCTGTCGTATTAGCGACACCAGCTGTGAGTCGATGCCCAGACCCGTTAGTCAAACGGATATCAGAATCGGATTCAGCGGGTTGAAGTACATGTTGGTAGGTGGGTCTGGTTAAAAAGACACATCCCCTTTTTGTGCCGGTGTTGTTATTATTGCACTTAAAATGTTTTCGTAAGAGCAGCAAATCATTCAAAGCGGAGTCTTCTACTCTTAACCTGAAGTTTTTACACACAAAGCCTACTGATGAAAAACATATTTCGGCCTCAACAATTTTAGGTTGAACTTGCAAAAGGTAGTCATAAGCCAGATGAAGATAATGACCCCTATCTCTGCCATTACAAAATATTTGAATTTCTTCTACCAGCACGTCGGACAAATTATAAGATTTTCGATTTGAGCAAGTTTTGAGTAGATTGATGTAAAGAATTATGTAACTTTTCCTTAGAGAGTTTTATCTCTGTTTCGTTTAAATTAACGACGCTATGAGTAAATTCTTTTAAATCTTCTTCAAAAAAGGCTCAGACTGCAATTTAAGCTTTATGTTTCAAGCTTTTTGTTAATTGTAGTCCAAACGGCATTTTACAAACGGCATCATACTTGAAAATTCATAAACAAGTTCTCACTATCAATTCGATATTTCCAATTTTTCAAGATCCCGGGATTTTCGGGACCTGAAAGACACCGGGTTTGGCATCCCTAATACTCATGCATATGTATACTATATAGTCTGTCGTACAAATCTACGTATAGACGTTTGTCTATGAGTGAATCCTTGAAACTTGTGTCGACTTTTGCAATGAGCGAACATGCACATCTGACGCAATTTCGCGGAATGCATTTCAAATAATTTAAAGTTGAATTTAAAACTTTTTCAATTGCCACCCACTGAGTTGAGTTAAGCTGTAAAAGAGCACTGATATGCATACTGAAATCTGAATGCAAATGTTAACGTCGATAAAATTGATGGTCAATCAGTAAGGGCGGTACATACCATGTGATTTATATTTTCATGAAACTTTGGAAAACCAATTAATTAGACCTACCTGCTGTCACCATTAAACCTCGGTTCGATTTCTGGTTCCAGGATATTCAAAAATTGTTTGGTTGCTCCAAAAGCTGTATGCGATTTTTAATGGCATGGGTATTATAAAAAACGTGAAAAGAAAAAGTGCGCAATTATTGGCCGGTAAATGTATGACGTGGTATGGACATTGGTTCACTTGTCAGATTATCCTTTGACTAAGTACCGATGAGAAGCAACAAAAGCCAAGGCGCCCGCGAACACCATCAGCACAGGACATAAACAACTGGAGGAACTTCGCTTAAAATAGAAGCAATTGAAAAAGCTTTTCATTTGATTTTATACACGACTTTTTCATAACGACTTCGGGATTAGTTTAGGATCATTTTGTAACCAAATCGTCCTGAAGTGGTTCTGAAAAAGTCGTGAACTTGTACCGAAATTATCTTCGAACAAGTCTTGAAACGATCCCGGAATGGTCTCTTACTAGTTCAAAAACTAACCTGAGCTAGTCCCGAAATGCTACTTACTTGTCCCAAAATTATTTGGAACTAGCTTCTGAAATAGTGGTGAACTATCCCAAATTGGTTCTGAAATATTACCGAAGTGGTTCTGCACCAAGGCCGATATGAGCCCTAACAAGTCTCGAAATAGTTCTTAACTAGTACCGAAATGCTCCTGAAATATTTTTTAACTAGTCCCAAAATGGCCCTCAAAAAGCGCCGCAATGGCTGTGAAGTAGTACTGAACAGGTCACGAAATTATCGCTAACAGGCACCGTAACGGCCGAAGAACTCGTAAACTTATCCCGCAATAATCTTAAAACATTTTGAAATGGTCCCTAATTTCAAAATGATCCCAAACTGTTTGTTTTGAAATAGTCTTGAACTAATGTCGAAATGGTACAGAACTAGGCCCTCAAGTAGTCGTTAACTGGTCCTTAACAGGGCTCGAAATGATGCCGAACTAGTGCAGAAATGGCCCTGAATGGGTCCTAAAATGATCCTAAACTAGTCGTGAATCTAAACTATTTCAGAAATTTTATTTTGTACACCCAAGATTTCTGCTGGATTAACGCAAATGTTACCACTACCGAGAGCTAAGATGTTTGCGCATCAAAAAGTGCTACATTTTTTGTGCGTACTTAAAACAGAAAAGGGTTTCTTATTTGTTATAGATGAACTATGATCTGCGTCGTAACTTTAAGGATCCTTCAACTGTTTTATATGGTTTCAGGAGTTTATGTATCAACTGAATGTTTACCTCTCCTAGTTTGTCTGAGTTCGCAGCGAAATTTCTCTGCTTTATATTCTTCAAATTGCAATCTTTTTTTCAATTGTGACCATGGTGATTCCGGTAATAACTGCTTGATTTGTGTTGCTTATCTTGTTCCGCTCATAAACTTGAAAAAGCGTTATGGCTATCTGAGGATATCTTTGACAGGGTATTCTGGTTAAGAGTCCACTTCCAGGCCGTACCGGTGAATTGTGTTACCAAAGAAAGGATTTCCTCATAACTGTTTTTAACCCATCCTGAATTTTTGATTATCGTAGAAGTGGTTCTCCAGAAATTTGATTGGAGTGCTGAGTGCTCACACAAGAAGTACTGAATCTCAAGGAGGCAGTATGTTTTGAACCGCTTTCCTAGTTCTATCCAACATCCAGTTTCCACTTACTCGTCTACCTTCTCGTTTCTCGGACTAAATATCGCTGTATATGTAGAGATTGACTACATGCTGACAAAGAGATCAAGTTAGCCCTTAGCGACCAAAGAGCCTTGATCGCAGTTTTACTGTCCACAACGTAGGGGACGACGCCATTTCCTGCCCCAATGTACATTTTTGACCATCCATAAAGATCGGGATCTCATTATCGCTTAGGGTGATGTTAAGTTGCTAGTCACTTCTACCGTAAAATCAAGTCTCAGAGTTGTGGTCAAAGTCAATTTCCGTTATCTAATATTCGCTACTTCTGTACTTTAGCTCGACTCACTTCAAAATGAAAAAGTGGTTCCTGCCAAGCGCTCGAAGACTGTTAGACTTCCTAAGTCTAAAAGCGTTCTTAGCTGTAGTACTTTTCACGTAGGTGGAATGCACAGAAGTGTACCGATGCTTCCCTTACTCAACATATGACAACTCATGAGAATAGCAGAGGAGATGGATTGCAAATAAACACAGCTAAAGTCGCTGCCATAAAAAATCTTTACTGTATAGCCCTTGTCTTTCCAGCTTTAGAGATGAAGACCAGTTTTACCTCCCACTATAGCACTGGATTATATGTAAGTATGTTGCTAAGAAGAAGACCTCTCCCTTAAATTGTCGTTGGCCAAAGTATTATTGTAGCTATTTCTCTTTGAAGCATAATTTGGATGATTCCGTCCGGATCCGGAGATTCGTAGGGTGGGAAGGATCTGATGAGCCATTCTACCGAGTCTTCTGTGACGAATACATCGATCGGACTGTTTCTGTTTTAAGTTTTCTGCCATTAGGTTGTCTTCTCTATACTGCTGCGTTCAGTGTAATCTGCTGCTGGTTTCCCCCAGGAATATGGCAAGAGACGGGCTATTAGAAAGGCATATTTGCAAGCGAGGTCGTAGATCGCGATGCTGGCTTAGCCTTTTTTATATCCTTCCGGAATTTATTCAAACATCGTAATTTAGTGTCCCAAACTCCTTCGTTCTATAAAAGTCGTTCGCTCTATAAAAAGCATTACAAACTGTGGCCCTAACTAGCCTTAGTCTCGCCGCCCACAACTTTGCATGACATTTGAATACTTTTCAATGCTTTTAGTACCCATTTTTTCTTTTCTTTACTCAGATCTTTCCAACGATGAGTTAGATTGCGATGACGATGTAGGCTCCAATGAATTCCTCACCGCCAATTATCACCACAGCATATCACCGTTAAAAACGCAACGCCAGCGTTCACTTACACCAGATCGGAACGAATCGCATAGCTCATCGAGTAGCATACGAAAGCAGCGTTCTCTCACTCCAGAGTCACGATCGCTGACGCCAGAGGACCGACGACGAAAAGGCGGTTCGCAAGCATCGCTTATGGGATCGCGACAAAATTCAAGTTCTCGCAGCAATACGCTCGAACGTAAGCAGCGATTAACTGAAGGACAACCATCAGCGAACATATCGCGCAGCTCCTCGAGCTCAAGCTACAGTGGTGGTGGCGTCGGTGAGCATGAGGGAGGCGGTGGCGTAGGTGCAGGTGCAGGTGCAGTTGCGGGAATGCCAACAACTACTGTAGTAGGTGTTGGCGCTGGAGGTACAAGTGGCGGCATTGGAGGTGTAGTCGCTGTTATGCCCGGCAGTGGTGGACGATCACAACATCGACGTTCGCTTGGGCGAAACGCCAAGCAGGTGGATGAGCATCGCATACGGAGATCTAGGTGGGTGGACAGAATTTTAGCAATTAGCTAGTCACAGATTTTATGTATGTTCCATATTTTAAGTTGCAATAATAAGACTTGGCGTCATTTGTTTTTCTGCTCCATAGATCTCTACAGCTTAGCGAACGTTCACCCAGCCGCACACACAAAGTCATTGTATCCATGGGCCAATCACAAGGCTCTGGTGTCGCTTATCACACAGCGAATGCACAGCCAATTTACCAACAAGCCGCCGTACGCGTAAGCAATGGCGGCGCTGCAACAGCCCGCCCACCCATACGCACCAGCAGCAAGTCGCAGTCGTTGCTGTTGACCAGCAGTAACTCCGGTGCCGGACGTACGCGCAATAATGACATCGATAAAAGTCGCTCCTTTGACTTTGACTACTGCAATTACAATAATCAAGTCGCGCTGAAGGGGCATAGTCACGTAAGTGGCAGTGGTGGCGGCGGAGGTGGCGGCAACAATCAGAACGTGCCTATGCGCTTGGACTTTGACAAGAGTCGCTCATTCGACGAGGACTACAGAGAGCCGCTGAATAGCGTCAGCAATACATTGACTGCAGCGAATGGCATGCGTTACTTGCAGGCTGTTGCCGATGGCAGCGCCAGCAACAAAACCAGTCGCCTGCGGCGTTCATCACCCGTCGGCAGCGGTGAGCGAAACTCACGCTCGCCGCAATCATCCGGCTCGTCGTGCAACAATCTCAACTTACCACGGCAATCAACAAGTCCCCAGAGTTATGGCACGCGACTCTGTGATCACGAGCTCACCTATGACATGCTGCGCAAATCACTCGATCGCTCGCCGATCATGGACTTTCGACGCGGTGACAGCGGTGAATACGATTTGCCGCCAGCGCTGTTGCGCAATCGTGAAACGATTAACAGTGGCGGCAATAGTGAGTTGAATTTCTTTAACAATGACACAACACACATCTACGAGCAGCCAACGACCAAGGTGACAACGACTGCAGCAGCCGGCTCCTTGAAGCAGCAACGTTCACTGGGCCACACACATAGTCCGAGTGAGTCGCAGTATTCGTTAGAGCGGCAACACGGCAATGCGTCGGGACGTGAGAGTATGACGCCGGAAGGCGCAAGTGGCGATTATCGCAGCGAGCATGTCTACCGACATCCGCATACGCGGGAGTCATCACGAGAGGGAGGAAAACGTGGCAGCGGCAGCAGCAGTAGTCGCAACAGGTATTGAAGCGCTGATTACGCAATCGAAAGTTGGATGCAAAAGTAATGAGTATCTAGTACGTTGCGTGGTCGAAACCTGCATGCAAACCTGCGCGATCACTAACATATACTTTGACTGCCTTATCCTGCCTGCCTGCCTGCCTG